TCCTCCTCCTCCTCCTCCACCTCCTCTTCTCCTCCTCCTCCTCCTCCTCCTCCTCCCCCTCCCCCTCCTCCTCCTCCTCCTCCTCCTCCTCCTCCTCCTCCTCCTCCTCCTCCTCCTCCCTCCTCCTCCTCCTCCTCCTCCTCCTCCTCCTCCCTCCTCTCCTCCTCCTCCTCCTCCTCCTCCTCCTCCTCCTCCTCCTCCTCCTCCTCCCCTCCTCCTCTGATTGTTCCCCATCGCAATCGGCCCGTATCAGAAGGATGCGCGATAAGGATGCAAGGGCCTTGGACGCCCACGTCGAAGCTTCTCGAGCGGGGCGTGGCCAATGAAAGTGGTCAAGGATGGACCGAGGAGGCAACCATGCAAGGGTACCCTTGGGAAGGATGCCAATCCTTATCATGGGGGTTGACTGTATAATTCGCGCTCTCCAGGGCCTCCTTCCTGCAGCCCTCGCTGTCCCCCCTCATCTGATCACCCCTCATTAGAGTGGGGGCCCGACCGCAAGAAATCTTCCACGAGAAACCCAACCCTGAGACCTCAGGACGTCCATGGATTTCTGGTGCGGTAACGTCGCGCTATCCACCGCAAAACCCTCAACACCTAAGACACCCAGGGCACCTTGGAGGCAAGCAGGGTGGTTCTTGGCATGGGCCTCCACATGTACCATCACAGTCCAGCAGAGGGAAGACTTGAGCAGGGACTGAACCATCCCGTGATTCCTCTAGGCTTACCACGACGTGTTCTTAGAACCAAAGAACATAAGCCCGATGTGTTAAAACAAACCAGTCTGAGCCAGAATATATCCAGACCCCCGACGGCATGATTTGTTCATGACGTCGACCCCCAACGGTCTGGTCCCATTCCCCGGGACCGCTTTTTCGTCCCGAGTCGTTTTTCGACGGCCTCGCCGAAAATAAGGAAAAAACCTCCTGTCGTGATTTTTGTTCAGAAGCTCGAGGGGGTCCGGGCTGGGTACTTCGCGCCCGACGGCAGAGGTACCATCACCGTCCGGCAGAGGGAGGATGGGAGCTCCCCCCCCGCCGCGGAGGAGGAGGAGGAGGAGGAGGAGGAGGAGGAGGAGGAGGAGGAGGAGGAGGAGGAGGAGGAGAGGAAGACCAGGAGGAGGGAGGAGGGAGGAGGAGGGGAGGACGACAAGGAGGAGGGCGCCGACGAGGAGGAGAGGACGACCCCTCGGAGGGCTCCTGGTCTCTCGGGGCCCTCCTGGCAGCATTTTTGGGGCCTCTGGGGGGGGCCGTTTCCCTCGGAGGGCTCCTGGTCCCTCGGGGCCCTCCTGGCAGCGCTTTTGGGGCCTCTGGGGGGCCGCTTTGGGGGCCCCTTTGGGGGCCTCTTTTGGGCCCCTGGTGGGCCTCTTGGGAGCTTCCTGGGGGCCTCTTGGGGGCCTCCTGGAGGCTTCTTGGGGGCTTCCTGGGGGGGCCTCCTGGGGCCTCCTGGAGGCTCCTTGGGGCGAGGGGAGGGGCAGGGCGGCAGAGGCCGCTCCTCGGCGGGCTCCCCCCCGGCCGCGGGCGCCCCGCGCGCCGGGCCGCCCGCGGGGAGGCAGGGCGCGGGCGCCGCGGCGGGCGGCCCGCGGGGCCTCGGCGGGGCGAGGCCGCGGCACCGCGGTCGGGCGCGGCCCCCCGCAGCAGGCGGCCCGACCCGGGGGAGCGGCACACAGGAGAAGCGGAGCACCTCCGCCTCCGCCTCCTCCTCCTCCTCCTCTTCCTCCTCCCTCCTCCTCCTCCTGCTCCTCCTCCTCCTCCTCCTCCTCCTCCTCCTCCCTCCTCCTCCTCCCTCCTCCCTCCTCCTCCTCCTCCGGGACCCCGAGCCCCCCTCTGACACACCACGCTGCCCACACGGAAGGAGCGGAGCCCTCCTCCTCCTCCTCCTCCTCCTCTCCTCCTCCTCCTCCTCCTCCTCCCCCTCCTCCTCCTCCTCCTCCTCCTCCTCCTCCTCCCCCTTCTCCTCCCTCCTCCTCCTCCTCCTCCGGGACCCCGAGCCCCCCTCTGACGCACCACGCTTGCCCTCCTCCGAAAGCTTGGTCTCCAGGCCCTGGCTCCCGTCTCCGGCGGCCGTGCGGCGTTCCGAGCAGCTCCAGGAGGTCCGAAGGAGCACCCGGGGGGGGGGACTCGCCGCCGAGAAGGCCGCGGAGCGCACGCGAGCCAAAGGAACGACCGAGCCCCTTTTTGAGAAGTAAGCGTTCCTCATTCAAGCCGGGCCCTGCACAGTCGTTTTGCCCCATCGTTCTTCAGGACCGCATCCCAGAAGTACTCTCGAACGCGCAGGAAAGTATCGAAACGGTGTCGAACGAGTATCGCCTCCCAGGGCCCGACACGTGAAAACGCTTCAGTTTCGGTACTCTCCTGGTGCTCGAAATTCTTTCTGGTGGTCAAGGCTAGAGTAGGTTGGAACATCCTAACCCTACAGGCAGAATTTGGAAGAGTAGTTAAACAAAGCAAATCATGTTCAAACATTGTCAAACATAGTAGACACATCGTCCCCAGGCTATTTGGGACTATTTTTGAATATTTCTCCTGTAGGAGGACATGCCCGACTTAACGCTGCACCGCGCGGCTTTCGGGCCTTTTCTCGCTGGGCCTTTTTAAAAAGCGTTTCGCACGATAACCCAAGATGCTCCTCGATGGTCCTCGCTGGGGAAAATGCACACGTCCGAGCGATGCCAACCAGAAAGGCCGCCACGGGGGCAGCGCCGACCCAACAGACCCTCGTGGACCTCAGGCACATTGTGCTTGTGCTTATGCGCTTCCTGCTCGTCGGCTTCTCCTGGGGGCAGCTCGGGGCCCAAGCACGTCCTGGCACGCTGGGGAAGCCCAGGATTAGGTCGGGCATGTCCCCCTATAGGCGGCTTTCGGACGACAGATACTATACCCAAGACATGTTCAAAGATAAGCAAACACAAAGAATAGAAACATTGTCCCACAACTATTTTTACTATTCGTGAATTTCCCCCCTGTATCGGGGAGCCGCAAGACTCGGGTACGGGGGACTCGGGTTGGCCTGACGGGGCATCATAAAAATGACGCGGCCCAATCTGAAATTTGGCGCGAGCGTCCGCAGCAAACATCCCACGAAAACTGGCTCGTCACAATCCAGGACGCGCTCGTGAAAAGACGTCGGCAAACCCGAGTTCTGGCTTACTCGAGTCTTACGTCTCCCCGACTGTAGTGAAGGGGCCCCAGGACACACACACACACACACACACACACACACACACACACACACACACACACACACACACACACACACACACACACACACACACACACACACACACACACACACACACACACACATAAATACACACACATGAAAAGAATCCCCACATGTTCCCTTATTTTTTGGGGCTTTTGTGTTCCCCCCCACTCCCCATATTTTCCCATATTTTCGTGGGAGTCGACGATGAATTGTGTCTGTGTGCTTCCTCCCCTCCTGATGTAGAGGGACCTGCCCGACGGAAAAGCCCGGGATCGGCGCAGGCCCTGGGCGGGAAAACCCGCCCTCGCCCGCCACCGCCCCTAAGGAACCCAAAATAAGGAACGAGGCCCCTTTTTCCATAAGGTAAACTTCGATTTCCGATCGAAAACACAAGGACAGCCTGAGGCAAGCTGCGAAGCATTCAAGGAACGCGGAGCCCCTCCCCAACGAAAAGGGTTCCTTCTTCAGGGCCCCCACTGCACGTCTCCCCGACTGTAGAGGGACCTGCCCGACGGAAAAGCCCAGGATCGGCGCAGGCCCTGGGCGGGAAAACCCGCCCTCGCCCGCCACGCCCGAGGAGCGGTTGGCTCTCGCGCCGCCGCCGGCCTCGGCCCGCCTCGGTGCCCGCCCGGGTTCCGCCTCGGGCCCTCTGCCGCCACGATTCCGTCGGGCCTGTCCCCCATACAGGGGGATCTTCGACGAAAAATGAAAAGCACTCCCAAAAATACCCCAAACAGGTCGAAACATACCCCCCACAATAGTCCCCAGACTATCTTTTTACTGTGTTTTGACTATCTTTTGGGGTATCTCTTATTTTTCGTCGAAGATCTCCCTGTAGGGGGACAGGCCCGACTCAACGCCACGACCCGCGGTCTCCCCGACACGGCTTGGACTCTCCTCAGCAAGCCCTCAGCACCCCTTGAACGCCGAATCTCCCCTGCAGCTCGCCGGCTTGGAGGCCGCCGGGCGCTCTGCGCAGCCCTCGCTCGGTCACATTCGGCGGCGAGCCCCGGGGGGAAGTGAGAAGGGGTGGGCCTTAAGGCTCGGGAGCCCCCCCCGGCCGTCTGAGAAATTTCCTCAGCCTTCCCCGAAGACGCAGAAAACTTCTCAGAAGGCCGAAGGCCTTGTGAGAAGCCCCGCCGCCTTCTGAGAAGGCCTTCTCCTTCTCACTTCCTCCCCCTCACTCGCCGCCGACACATCTTTGAACGAGTACTTTTTGTTTGGTGATTACAATCCCCGCTCAGTCTGTTGATCCGCCCGCTGGACCCCTTGCGGGGCCAGCATGCTGCGAAAATCGGGTTTCAGCAACGTAGGTACCAGTAATGAGCTTCTCGGTCACCGTTACAGTTCCAGTGCAGTTTCAAGCTTCCAGTCTCCAATGTTATAATTCTACTGTTTGGTTTTTTACCGTAATTTGTTACGCACTGTCCGCACGATGCGGGGGGGGAGCCGAAAACACTATGATTACCTCTATTTCCCGGTGTTCTCAGAATTCCACCGGGCCCCCCCGATCATCTGAAAATACATGAGACTCGCGTTCCTAAGGGTATGTCCCTCGCAAATTGTACAAGATTCACGCCCGCGATGCCACGATACCTAATAAATTACGCCAGATTCGCGCCACAGCGGCCACCATCCACTATACACTATTCAAAACTTGCGCCCCTGAAATTCACCAGATCTGGGCCCCCGATGCCGCGATCTCTGGTAGATTGCACAAGACACGTGCCCCAAAGGCCACGACCCCACGTAAATAACACCATATTCGCGCCCTCGAGGCCAAGATCCCATGCAAATTACGATAGATTCGGGCCGCCGAAGCCACGATCCTATATAATTACACCAGGTTCGCGCTCCCGAGGCCACGCTCCCTGAGAAATTTAGCTAGATTCGCAATCCCAAGCACGATCACGAAGCGAATCTAGCCTCGTGATCAGAGGGGACGAAGGGGGGTTAGGAAGAAGGGCTGGGGGGACGCACGTTTGGTGTGGTCTGTTCCACGAAGTGCTGGGCTGGTACGCTGGCGGGACTTCCCGCAGGCGGCGGGACAACAAATGGTGCAACAGCCAAAGACCGTCCCAGCTGCGCGATCTTACCAAACATGGCCTCGATCAGCCACCAGTCGTTCTAACAGAGCCTCCACTGCACAGCATAAGTGGAAAGCTCAACACAAACTCAGACAAAACTTCAATAGTTCCTGAACCTCAACTTGATTTGCCGATTACCCATCGGCCTTGTATGAGGTTCCGGATTCGCTTTAAGGCGGTGCCCTGGCATCCCAACATAGCCCTGGCAAATCCCATAAGACAGGGGGGCGGTGGTAGAGGGCGAAACCCTTACGGATAGTGCGCATCGCACCTGTATGTGTTGCGAAGTACTTTGCTTTCTTCGCCTCGACGCTGCTCGCGAGGCCGCGACCGCCAACAAGTGTGCTGCGAAGTCCACCGGCTGCAATGAGGACAGCCCAACCCACCCCCACCCCCAACCAGGAAAGCCCATCCCCATCCCGAGCCAGATTCCCTGGATCACCAGGTTTGGAGTGGGGATCCTGAGTGGGGGATGGGTTGCGCTGTCCTGAGGCAAAGTCTGGTGAAATCCTACCAGCCTCCCTTCTTTAGAGGGAGAAGTCCTCCCCATAATGATCACCCCGACACGCGAAGCCGTTTAGCAAACGCAGCCACAGAAGGAATCGAACAGGGCAGGGCTGTTTAGTAAACGCCCAAAGCCGTTTAGTAAACGCCAATTGTCGGGTCCGGGTGGTTTTTACTCCCTTTCCTCGCTCTCTCCACTTCCCTTCCCCCTCCTCTTCCTAGTATAGTTGCCGCGCTAATGACACGCGGCAGGCAAGGAACACATACACCCTTAGAGGGCACGATTGAGGACCGAGAGGGCGGGCATCGAGGGCTTGGGGGTATACATGTTGAGTGGCACGCGAGCAGCGAAGAGCGAACAGCGCTAGCAATCGTGCTGCTCTCGCTGCTGCGGTGGTTGTTGCGGTGGTGTGTATGACTGTGTGTGGACCCCAGTCTCTTGAGCCCCGACTCCTCTTCCTGATACAGTTGCCGCGCCAACTACACGTGGCAGGCAAGGCACACCTACACCCTTAGGGGGCACGATCGAGGACCGAGAGGGCGGGCATCGAGGGCTTGGGGGTATACATGCTGAGTGGCACGCGAGCCACGAAGAGCGAACAGCGTCAGCAATCGTGCTGCTCTCGTTGCTGCGGTGGTGTGTATGACCGTGTGCGGACCCCAGACTCTCGAGCCCCGACCCCTCTTCCCAATACAGTTGCTGCGCCAGTTACACGTGGCAGGCAAGGAACACTTACGCCCTTAGAGGGCACGATCGAGGACCGAGAGGGCGAGCATCGAGGGCGTGGGGGTATACATGTTGAGTGGCACGCGAGCAGCGAAGAGCGAACAGCGTCAACAATCGTGCTGTTGTCGTTGCTGCGGTGGTGGTTGTGGTGGTGTGTACGGTCGTGTTTGCGTGTGGCTGGCAGGGCTGGACCTGAAAGTTGTTGTTCGTTGTCTTTTCGTTACGTGTTTCGTTTCGCTCCACCAAATGTCTGCACCTCCCTCCCAACGCGAAAAACGAAACACCGCCGAAGTCCAGCAAAGCAGCGTTTAGGACCAGCCCTGTGTGTGTATGATTGTGTTTGCGTGTGGCTGGTTTCTTTTTTGTCGGTCCTCACTCTGCTCCCAATCGTTTCGTCTCCGCCCCACCAAAAAGACAACAAGACCTGCACACATAACATGCTTGTGCATTCTCCGCAAAAGTGACATGTAACCCGCCGCAGCCATAGGCAACATGGATTTCCCCCACAAGCGTGTGTAAATCCTATGCACGAAGATTCACGTGTGAGAGTTCCACGAACAAGTACATGCACGCTCCCTCTACATGTTTGGTTGATGGCAGAGAGAGAGGGGGCGAAAGAGAGGGGAGAGACATGGTATTCACACACGTAGTGTGGAGGAGGATGATCATGAAGAGGAGGTGTACCTGGCAGCGGAGGAGAAGGGACATGAGGATGCGGATAATACTGTGTATCTACATGATATCTTCAGATGGGGGTTGAAAGAGAGAGAGAGAGAGAGAGAGCGAGAGAGAGCGAGAGAGAGAGAGAGAGAGACACACACACACAAACACGCTACACATGTAAACATCCCAAGGTGCTTAAACATCCCGTGCCTGTGTTTTGTCTGAACCGTGTGGAGATACACGGTCGTGAGTAATTTCTTCCAGCTCCTCCCGAGGTGGAAACGATAGGCGTCACGCCTGTGGGGAAGTGAGAAGGGGCGGGCCTTCTCAGAGGGGTCGGGAGTCCCCCAGCCTTCTGAGAGGTTTCCTCAGCCTTCCCCGAAGACGTAACAACAACCTCTCAGAAGGCAGGGGGCCTTGTAAGAAGCCCCGCCGCCTTCTGAGAAGGCCTTCTCCTTCTCACTTCCTCCCCCTCGCTCGCCGCCGACACATCTTTGAACGAGTACTTCTTGTTTGGTGATTACACCCCCCGCTCACAGTCTGTTGATCCGCTGGCCTCCCTGCGGGGCCAGCAGGCTGCGAAGATCGGGTCTCAACAACGTTCCAGCGCAGTTTCCAGTTTCCAATCTCCGATGCTGTAATTGTACTGCCTGGCTTTTTCTATAGTTTGTTACGCACTGTCCGCGCGAGGAGGGGGTGTGGGAGCCGAACGCCACCACTGTCTCCTGGGATTCTCCGAATTCCACGGGTGGCCCGAAGTCATCTACAAATACGTGAGACTCGCGTCTCCAAGGGCATGTCCCTCGCAAATGATGCAAGATTCGCGCCCGCGATGCCACGATACCTAGTAAATTACTCCAGATTCGCGCCACAGCGGCCACGATCCATTACACAGTCGGGGTGGATTGGAGAGGACACGCGAGAGGACACAAGACCATTCCGATGGCCACATTGCCAGTGGAACGTAAAGTCATGGGTCGCGAAACACGGGACACAAGGGTATCCTTGTTTGGGCAGGGTCGACCTACTAGTCGAACTCGACTGCACATGATTCAAAACTCGCGCCCCCGAAACCATGATCCTCCGACTTCACCAGCTCCGGGCCCCCGAGGCCGCGATCGCTGGTAGACTGCACAGGGCACGTGCCCCCGAGGGCGCGAGGGCTTCCGAAGTCCCGCCGCCTTCTGAGAAGGCCTCCTCCTCCTCGCTCCCCCTCCTCTCGGGGGCGCGCAAACATGGATTGGCGATCCAGGGATTTGGCGCGCGGTCGCCAAAATCCATGGATCGGGGGAGGTGCCCTCCCCAGGGCGGCTGGTGCCGCCTCGTTCGGCGGCGGAGATCCGCGATTTCCCATGGAAACGGGACCCTTCGCTAATCCACGCCCCCTTGATCCATGTTTGCGATCGCTTGACCCTCGCTCGCCGCCAAATATCAGTCAACATCGGTCCCCCGACACTTACCCGGGGTCCAGCCGACGCGGCTTGTCACCCCGCATCGAATTTCACGGGTCCCGGGGCCGGAAAACGGCCCCGGGAGGCCGAAAGCTGTGAACGATGGGCCTCGAACCTCGAACCTCGAAATTCGCACCTCGCAACTTCCCTCCGCGCTCGCAGGACAGCCCAGAATCGAATCGATAAGTCGGATCGGCGATCGACATGAATCGGATCGGCGGACATCGGCAGCCGATTCGGGGACAGTCGAATCGGCGTAAATCGGCAGGCTAGTATGCCTCCAATAAGCAATCGGAACCCAAACTGGAATCCCGGTTCGAATCGAATCGGAATCGGAAGCCACCGAAAGCAAGTCGAACCGAATCGGAGGAGTCGAAGTGAGCCCTGCGCCCGCCTCCGAGCCCGAACTGTGCGCTCGAACCTCGCAATTCGAGGGGAACGAAACATTACATTTAAACACGAAAACTGAGAGGCCCGCGTGGATTTGTTGGATCGGCGCTCGACCCCACCCTCTGGCGCGCGGAGCGCCCACGCCAGGGGCGGCGCCGGAGGCGCCGCCAGGGGGCCCCAGCGCCGATCCCAGAAATCCACGCGGGCCTCTCCGTTTTCATGTTCGTGTCATTTTTCGCTCCCCCAAGTTCGAACCTCGCAATTGCCCTCCTCGCCGACGAGCCACAACTGGGGGGGAGCTGTGGTCCTTAATACCCCCTGGGGGAACCCCTCGCATCGACGATCTCTCTCGAGAGGGGGGTCGACATCGATGGGCCCCCCAGGGGGGGTAAGGACCACAGCTCACCCCGTTGTGGCTGGCCTGCCTCGCTCGCAGCCGAGCAGCCTTCCTTGCGGGGGAGGAGGAGGAAGAGGAGGAGGAGGAGGAGGAGGAGGAGGAGGAGGAGGAGGAGGAGCCTGAACTGCTCGTCCACGAAGAACGCGCCGTCCTCGGCTGGGCGCTTGCGGCGCAGGTCCAGCGGGAGGCGGTGCGGCTCTGGCAGCGGGCGCGCCTCGAGGCGCCGCTGCCGCTCATGCCTCCCAGAGTTCCCCCTCGTCGGTCGAGGCATGTCCCACCACACCTCTCGATGCCCTCCTCCTCCTCCTCCTCCTCCTCCTCTTCTTCTTCTTCTTGTTCTTCTTCCCCTACCTCCTCGTGTTTCTCCTCCTTCGCCTCGTCCTCCTCCTCCTCCTCTCCTCCTCCTCCTCCTCCTCCTCCTCCTCCTCCTCCTCCTCCCCCTCCCCTCCCCCTCCCCCTCCTCCTCCTCCTCATCCTCATTTTCTCCTCCTTCTCCTCATCATCATCATGATCTTCTTGTTATTATTCGTCTTCCTCGTCTTCTTCTTATTAGTATTATAATCATTATTATCAT